TTTTTACAATGTAATAATGATATACACATGTTTATATGATTTGGATAAAATTCTGCATTTGACAATCTTCAAAAACATGGGACCATACAAATTTTATTGCATTTTTGATTGGAAATTTTTTTCTCAAAAAATGGTGGTGTAGCACAAAAAGTTCAGCGACTAAATGACTTGCACTATATATATGTCAAAGATAAATTAAATATAAAAATGATGTAATGATCTACATGTATAATGTGGCGCAACCGTTACAATAAATATAGAAAGATGATCGTTAATCATGATGTAATATTTAGCACATCACATGACTTCCGTGGCAAGTTCGTTCTAATTGGTCAATATTAACGGTCAATTGGTTGGTCCACGGTTTACAATCTCACAATACTCTTTTGAGAAAATCTCTATTACATTAAAACTAAAGGCCTATTCTATCAACTAATAAAGCTATTTTTTAAAAATGTAGAACAGAAAATGACTTCTATACTTTTAAACTTTGCACAAAGTTTAAGAGGTCTTTAGACGAGCAAACTATAGTAGAAAATTTTTTTATAAAAGTTCAATTTTCAAAATAACATTTAAAAATCCGCATATATGAAATTTATTATTGATGTTTATTATTTGATGATCAATCATTGTAACCAACCCCAATATTTTATGAAGTTCAAACAGAATACCAGGCTCCGTTTGTTAAAATGAAGAAGTAAGGAGGGAGGGAAAGAAAATATCAATTGAATTGAATTAGAGAAAAATGTTTAAGCTTACATCGAGCGAATTATATTATTGGATATAATAACAACAATAAATATTGTACTCTTTTTTTTATTATAAAAAAGTATCAATCCTTGACTGGATTGTTTATGAATTACATTGTTTATCATGTACGGTATATTATTATTTAATAATAAACAATAGAATATTCTTAAAAGAAAAGTCATTTACTTCTACTTGCTTTAAAATCTCGGAAACAAACATAGCAAATGTCAAAGAAATATAAAAACTCACTGAAAAGCGAAAGCCGTTGTACGGAATATATTGTAGCACACAGCCACAGATTATCTCACATGTCACAGGTACACAACGTTCGTAGAAAAGGAATCTAGATTGGAAAATGCACATATGTTGATTGCTTTTAAAAACCATCAGAATAATTCGAGTGTCGCATTAAAATTCAGAAAACAAATTACAGCCAATCATCATTCCATCAAGAGATTGAGGAAGAGAAAGTGGTCGTTATTCATTACACAAAGACATCAAATTAAGTATGAAATACAATACGACTGCCGTCTTACTGTCTTACCATTGATCATCTTGGCGAATTAAGGTGATAACAAAGGCTCTAAATTTCTTCGGTAGTTGAAGAGAAGACCTCCATGGGCGAGAACTTTCATTTGAAAAAATGACACAAGCAGAGCACATCGTTTATGCTTGCATTACGATAGAACACAAGGTAAACGGGATACTGTTCATGGCAAAGTAAATAATTACAAAAGATATAAGCTCCATTAATACATTGATTGATCTAGATCACAAAAAAATTTGTAACAAAATTTGATCTCCATATTTGTCAGTATTTATTTAGTAGTATGTAAAGATTGAATTTGATCAATATTAATATTATCTCTGCTTCTCCTTATTCGTATTTTCCTTTAAAATAGTAAAATATATCATTTGCTAGAAAGAAAACGTACGATCGTTTTTATTTATAAACAATTAATAATTTTGTGTATTTTAAAAATCAATAAAGAAATATAAAAAATTTGACATTTAAATTAATTCACCCACCATTACTCATTCAATCCATTTATTATTTTATTGTTTTTTTTAATTATTATTATAATTATTATTTAAATAATAATAAAAATATCATTGTTTAAAAAGTTCCATGAATTTTTTAAAACTTTAATTTTCAATTTTACATTATCTTTTAATCATTTATTAATAATTGGAAAATAAATAATGTAATGAAACTGAACCAATTAGAAAAATAAATTTCTAAAACAAACAAGAAACAAAACTTGAAAATCCCTATAATAATAATAATAATAATAGAATTTAGTAAAAACGGTTTTTAATTTTTATTATTATTTATTATTTTTTATTGCGGTAGATTTTCTAGGTAAATAAAAAAAATCTAAAAATAAATTTCATTGTAAATTCATTTGAACTTCTCGAATTTCTTGGTGATTATTCTAAATTACCATAAATAACAATAAAGAGAAGAAGAGATTGTATATAGAATGATCGACGAATAACATCTTGATTGTTTCTTGTTATGTTTATTTTAGTCTATTATTCCCAAATAAAGAATACAGTTACCGGAATTTCTATACAAGGTACACAAGTATCAAACCCCAATCACAATTACTTAAATATATTTAGTTGTCCAATGAAATTACAGTTTTCAAAATTAAAAAAAGAAAAAAATTAACCAAATTAAGTTTATAATCAAATAGTCAAATAAATATTTTTCCATTATAAAATAAATGTTTATTGTTTTGAAAATGAATCCGAATTTCCGAACAATTACATTGCAATTAAACACAAATTTATTTTTATTAAAAAAAAGTTTCCTTTTTGGTTAATGAATGGCTTCTTATTTTATTTTTTCCATTTACATTCTGAATGGGTAAATTTAAATAAATGATGGTGGTAATGATAATAATAAATAGTGATAATAACAAATAGCGATAATCACAAAATAGCGATGCAATGATGATATTACCCTAATTAATTAATTATTTTATTTTTTTTCAAAAAAAAAAAGAAGGAAAATGAAAAAAGAACAAAATTTAAATGAAAGTGAAAATAACAAAATTTAATTTTGTGAAACTAAAACAAATCTAAAAATGTAATTTATAGACTTTTATTATTATTTTTTAATCTTAAGTTAAACCTCTAATAAAGACAATGGTATTATTGAAAATAATATATGGCAACTTGCCTATGTGTATACAATCTCGTTCTTCCTCCTCCCCTTCTTCCTCCTCTTGCTCTTACTCTTCTTCTTCTTCCCCTACCCCTACCCCTTCCCTCCTCTTCCTCTTCTCTTCCTCTTCCTTCCATATCCCTTCCATCATCCATAAGAGTTCAACAAAATCGTAATTTAGGAAATTCATAACCTGATAAAAAGATAAGCAAATTATACATTTATTACATATATATATATATTTATTATATAAACCATAATTGTTTAAAATAAAGATCTACTATATCATTTTTTAAATTACCTTTTTAAGCAAAGAATGCATTCTTCATTATAATATTTATATTTATTTATAAAGAAAAAAAAATTTTCCATACACATATAAAGAACCTACAACCCAATTATTTTTAGTAATTTCTTTCTCTCTCTTCTCTCTCTCTTTTTTCCTTCAAAAACCCCCAAATTCATAAAAAAAAATTTTTAATATTAAAAAACAAATATACACTACAATTAAAATTAATATTAGAACAAAAAAAATTATAATATAAATAAATATTCAACAAAATTTTTTTCTTATTGCCAAACAAAATTTAATAATAATTGAAACAAACAATATCCATCTTTATATCATTCCACCCGTTAAATTCATTCCATTCAATCTTCGTTTATTTTTTCGTTAGTATTACTAATTAATCAGATAATTTTTTCCAATAATTTTTTACCAACAATAATAACAACAACACTGTCATCACTATTATAAATATGTCTTTTTATTGTTTTGAAACAAGACAAGATAGAACTCTTGCTCCTTATCCTCCACCAGAATTTAGTCAGCATGTTGAAAAAATGTCTCCAAATGAAATTGTTGATCATATTATACAAACTAATATAGATCCAATGACTTTAAAAAAGATAGAAAATCAAATTGCCGTACCATTGAAACAATTAATCTCTCCACGTGAAAATCGACGTAGACGTTGTATACCAAGACCACAGAATAACTTTGTTTTGTATAGAAGAAACTTCCATGCTGTTATAACAAAAGAAAGAGGTCATGCTGTTGCAAAAAATTTCAAATTGATTTCAAATATGGCTGCAAAAAATTGGGCTGAAGAATCTAATGAGATAAAACAACTTTATGAACTTATTGCTGATTGTGCAAAGAAGGTTCACGATTGCACATATCCTCAATACGTATATCAACCCAAACATAAATCTTCAAAAAAAGGGAATAATAATATATTTCGTGAAGTTAGTGTGGAAACTTGTAAACAAAAAACTGAAAAATCTAAAGATAAAGTTAAATTATCATCATCATCGCCACCTTCTCCTCCTCCTTCATCTTCTCCTCCCTCAGAAAATAAATCTATCAATAATCCTATTAATACTAGTCCTATTAATGATGACAACAATATTGGTGAAAATAATGGTAATGACAGTAATATTATTAATTCACCTCATTTATCCTCCTCTTCTTCTTCCCCTTCTTTATTATCTCCAAATTTAATTCATATTAATAACATGAATTTGGATGTAGTAAACGAAGATTTTAAATTATCATTATCATCATCATCATCGTCATCGTCATCGTCATCATCATCATCATCATCATCGTCGTCATCAAATACAACATCATCATTTCCCTCAACACCATTTTCTTCAAATTCATATTCATCGTCACCATCTATTAATAATTATAACAATAATAACAATATTAATAATAATTCTTCTAATTATCACACGATTTCTTCTTCTTCAATTAAAGAATGGCGTTGGCTAAATTATAATCAATCGAATACAATAATACCATCAACTAATATGGAAATAGAACATCAATCTCAATCTCAAATACAGCCACAATTCCAATTACCATCACAAACGTCGACAACATTATCGTCATACACAGAATTACTTCCTCCGATTGACATTCCAATTTCTTCCAATTTCTTGGCTGCATATGATCGGAGTCTTTGGGATAAAGTTAACTATTTTTCAAAAATAAAATAAAAAATAATAGTTATGGATGATGATGATGATGATGATGATGATGATAAAAATAATAATAGTGGCAAAATATTAAAAATTAACAATATTATTATTATAAATAGGAAAAAGTTCTAAATAGTTAATCATAACGTCTTAACAAGTTTATGTAATAAATTATAAAGATTATAAAGATTATAGCAAATATAAATAAATATTATTTCTTGAATTGTACAAATTTTTATTTTTATTTTTTTTTATTTTGTATTTTTTTTTCTTTATTTTACAATAACATATAGCGCATATATATACAATATATATATTTTTTCATTCATTTTTTCATTCATTCTATTTATTCATTATATTATATATCAAACAAAATAAAAAATTTTAAAGTTTTTTCTAATCTAAATCATAAATAGTCAATAAAGTTTGGTTTATGAGTTAAAAATTTTATTTTATTTTTACGAAGGCCTTTGCTAATTGTTATTACCGATGGTAAATGATATCTAGTGTTTAATTTGAATTTTCGATTTTGACCTAGATCCTATAACCACGTTAATGGGGTGTGCGACATTTTGATTTTTTGTGATCGGCATGTTGCTTAAATATATCATTTTCAAATTAATTCCTTCATTTCAAAAATATAGATACCAAACTTGCGTGTATAGGTAGTAAGTAGTACAGAGCTATGCGAGATTTTACATGAAAATGTTAATTGTATAAAAAGCTCAACTAAATTTCTATTTATTTGTAATACTGTACTTTTGCTCAAAAAAACTATGAAATAAAATCAAGACATTGCAGATCATTATAACCGTTACACGAATGAAATTTTTGTCGTCCACTTCAAAATTCGTTGTTTTTCTTTTAACAAGTGACTTTTTAGAGCCAGACTAGGGCTTCCTAACGACTATTAAAATAGGAGTCTAGCTTATATTTGTTATTCTACGCCAGGCTGCAAGGGTTACTTTTTTTTACACTTTAAGATTTTCTTCCAACTAATGCGCAGAAGAAAGCAAACTCATCAGTAATGGTTGTGTCAAAGTGTTCCTTACAAAGTCATTTATAATCACTCAGAAGGTTGTATTGGAAAAACTTTGACTTTTCTTACAAGAAATTGATTCATAATTATTTTTATCAGGCAAACAGCACCTATTAAGCTATTTTTGGTTGCTTTGTTATTTTAGGTACAAAATGATGTCAATATGATTGATACAACATTTCTATAGGATATAATTAAATCATATAATTAAACTAATAAATAGTGACGTTTGAAAGAATAGCTTAATAGTGATTGCCCAATAACATTGATATTGGGTGTGCAATGGACAATTTCAGTGACATCCAGGGTGTCTTATACATATGGTTATTATTTTTAGAATCACATAAACCAAATTTCAAAAAATAATACTAGCAATGAATCCAAAATTTATTATCTAAAGAAAATATATTTATGAAGTTAAATTATTATATATATGTTCAAAAAAAATTTTTTTTATCAAAAGATTCACAGTGTCTACCATATTTTAATTACCAGAAGACAATTTAGAAGAAGAAAAATGACTAACAATAATAATAAATCATATATACAACTAGAAACAAATGTAGAGAGGATCTATCACCACTATTTTTTATTTAATTAATCAATATACACATACACATCATTGTGTATATTAATAGTTATGTATAAAGTATCCAATCTTTGTCACTTCAAATTTGTTTCCTCCTTTTCCTGATATCATTATAATTAGTGGTTGTATCCATTGATTATCGGGTGTTTGAGCAATTAGTCAATCAATAAAACTCAACATCCGGATAATTGGTCAGTCAATAGAATTCAACACCTGGATAATTGGTCATTCACCAAATATCTGCTGAATATCTGCTGAATATCTGTCAAATATCCATTAAATATTAAATTTATTTAAAAAAAAATTTTTTATTCATCAGGAAAAATATAATAAATTTTTATTCGTCAAAATCAAGAAAAATATTTTCAACACACACATTGCATATTTTTTTAAGAAATACAATTCTTTCAAATAATAATGGGTTCAATTTTGTTCATTTGGCTGTCATTAAAGAATGTAATAGTGATAAAATATTATCGTGGATAAAATTTAATTATCATGTAGTTATCCACAAAAAATATCCACAATCGCCAAATTGATTTCTAAATAAGGATAACATGCACCCAACCCACCAATAAAAATTGGATATTCTGAGGTTTCACGAAATTTGCAGATATTTTTTATGGATAACTATATTAATACATACGTAAACTCGATAAGTCGGTCATGTCAGGGCGGACCCCTGCCTGCGACTGACTTATCGAGAGAACCGACTTATCGAATTTCACGTGATTTTTTAATTTATTAAAATAAAAAATGTTAACATTGAAAAATATATAATAATAAACATTGAACTCCCCTTTTTACTACCACCTTTACTAGATGATCCTTCGGTGCTCATAATTATGGTTCTATAATGTGTGTTTTGAAAGGTTAATGTTAAGTA